GTCAGGGTCCCCCCCCCACAAGGCAGCAGCCAGGCCGGGCTTTAGGGTACAGCCGGACTAGCCTGTCGGCCTCGCTCTGCGCCAGGGCTGGGAGAGCCCCCTAGTGGCAACACCGGGCAGCCTGCGGGAACCAGTGACTGGCTGGGTCCAGCCGCCCAGATGGATTCGATGCGGCCCAGCCTGTCCCTCCTGCCCCCCCGAGGTGCTGACCCACAGCCCCAGGGCCATGGGAAGCCGATGGGGCTCTAGGGTCACCACCACCCAAGGGGGAATCCCTGGCACCGATCCCTGCAGGACGGGGGCGCCAGAAAGTAGGAGGAGCCGGGGCTGTTCCCTGGAGCAGAGAGCAGAGCGCCCCCGCCTGGCGGGAGGAAGCCCCTGCCCAGGAGGGAGCTGCTTTTAGACCAGACGAACGCGCTTGTGGCTAAGGTGCTGCATTTCAGGACTCCTGGGTTCTACCAGCTCTGGGAGGGGAGCAGGGTCTGGGGGTCAGAGCAGGGGGCTGGGGGTCAGGACTCCTGGGTTCAATTCCCAGCTCTGATGTCAACCTCCCTGAGTCTCCTTGAGTGAGGCATTTAACCCCTCCCTGCCTCCGTGCGATGGGGACGGGGAGGGCTCCCTGCAATGCAATGGGGTGAGCCCCCTGCCCCCCAGCTTCCCGGTGAGGTGGGCAGGCACGTCAGCTGTGGCTACCTGGGGAGTCTCCCTGTGCCCTGGGGGCGGGGGGGGCTGCTTGTGCCCCATATCAGATCCAGGGCCCCACCCGCCGGTGGGGAATGGGTTTACTCAGGGGAGAATCTGGAGTGACTCCTGCTCCGCTGGGGGGGATTGAGGGGAAGAACAGAACCAGACCAGCCCCAGGCCCCAGCGAGGGCCACGCCTACCTCCAGCTCGTAGAAGGCCATGAGCACGGCGAAGCTGGTCAGGTGGTTGCACTGGCAGCGGGTGCTGTTGGTGGTCAAGTTCTGCAGGGTGCAGCCGCCGGTGGCCCAGCGCCTGCTGTCAGGCTCCCAGTAGGCGCAGAGGAGGCGCAGGTTGGGCTTGTTCTCCTGGGGACAGAGAGACGCTTGGTGCATGGGGGGGCAGGAGCGGGGTGAGGGGCTGGCTGGGGTCGCACAGGGGGGCAGGACTCCCCAGGCCCTGAGAGGGCAGGTCGGGGGGGGTATGAGGGGCTGGGCTGGGCTGGGTGCACAGAGCATCAGTTTGTCCCTGGGTGGGAGGCGGATTCACCTGCTGACCCGGGTGGGGGGTGTTACTAGAGATGGGCCCAGCTCTCCCCCCAGCGCCCCAGGCTCTCCTCCCCCCATGCCCAGCCCAGGGGCTCACCGGCACTGGGTGGCTGAAGCGGATGCTGACGGAGAGGTCGAGTGCCTGGGGGTTCGGGTCACTGATGAAGGCCGACACCACTGGAGACAGCACACGGTAGCTGGGCCGCCCGGGCTCCTGCGCCTGCTTCCTGGTCTGGCCAATCTCGTACCACTCGGGCGCCTCCACCTGCCCAGCACCTTCCAGGATGGGGCTCATCCCCTGGTATGTCAGCAGCCCGGCCAGCGTGAAGCCTGCGAGAGACAGAGGAGACGGATGAAATGGGGGGCAGGAGGGGCCCTGGGGCAGACTGGTCCCAGGGGTGCTGTGCTGCTGGGGGTGCTGCCCCCAATGCCCTGGCCATGCCCCGTCCCCCTACACACCCCAGTCTGGCGCTAGGGGGTGCTCTGCTGCTACTCCCAATGCCCTGGCCGTGCCCATCGCTATACACACCCCAGCACAGGCGATGACCACATACCTTCATTTTCCTGCCCTGGGGCTCTGGCCCAGTTTAATTCCAACT